TATTTAATATTTTTTATGGAGGAAGGGGCCCACAAAAGCAAAAGTGTCTACTTAAGTTGTTAAAACATCATCCACAACTGTTTTAAACATATTTACATAATAGATAATAAAAGGGAGGGAATTAACAAAACAAAATATTTACCTAATTTACCCAGTATATGGAATACTACTATACCATAGTATTAATACCAAGGTCATAGTGTGGCCCCTGAATCTCCCATTCCCCAATTCTACTGACCTTGTGACTCCTACTCATCTCTCAGATCTCAGCTAAGTTGACCTTTCTTCAGGTGAGTAAGGGACAGGTGTGGCTAGGCAGGAAGAGATAGGTAAAGGGGCTACGTGATCAGGCTCACAGAAATCCCAGAAATGCTGAGGCATAAAAAACCAGGGATAAGGGAACAAACCAGACCACCCTGCCCTGGGCATAAGAGGTGGGGTATTTCTACAGCAGTCACACTGTGACCACAAAGAATGACCAGACCCCACAGAAGAAGTAAGCCATTAAAGATGTTATCATCAGTCCTTACTCAAACTAAGACATCACAAGAATGATGAGGCCACAAGCTCCCTGGTCAGTTCTAAATAAAAAACTGTCATTGGAGGCCCACGTTGGCAACCCTGTCGGGACCCCTCTCATTCCTGAGAGCTTTTTCTCTGTATCCTTGCTTAATAAACTTTTATCACTTTACTAACTCTCCTTTGTCCTCAAGATTCATTCTTCCACTCCGTGAGACAAGAACCTCACTCTCCTGCTTCACAGGGACTCTATCATTCTCTACCAAGGATTCTAAAAGACAATATGAGGTCCCTATATATGTTCTCCCATCACCTTATAATACAGAAATGATATAAATAATTGCGAAATTTTGCCTTTAATCAAATCAAGAACTGTGTCTACCTCATTTATCACTATATCCTCAGCATAAAACCTTGTATTCAGTGACGTGAGACCCTGAAGGACTCAGAATTTTCTACTGTGGCTCTCTCAAGTCTTTGTTCAGTTTTCTGATCCTAGATTTACTACTATTTAATCTCTTATTGACTGTTTCTTCATTTTAAAAATGGGAATAATAACGGGAGTTACGAGTTAGAATGAGTTAGAACAGTGCCTGACACATAGTAAAGCCTATTAAAGCCCAGCTATTAAAAAACAACAACAAAACAACAAAACCTAGTTATTCTTCATTTTATTAGATTATTAGTACTACACTACTATTTTTTATTACTATTATCATCATCATTATTATTCCATATGCTGGGTGAATTAGGTAAATATTTTAATTTCCTCCCTTTTACTACCTATTATGTAAATATGTTTAAAAGAGTTGTGGATGCCATCTTAACAACTTAAGTCCCAAGTTTTTAGGAAAAAGTTAGAGCAAATAGCTATAAAGACAGAAGAGAACTGGTTTTAGTTACTAAAAATACATAATTATCCATGAATTCAAGACATCAGGGCTTTCAAAATATTCATACCCACCAATTCATAATTTTACATGATACGATCAGGCTAGAAGAATATTTTTAGCGAAGAATAGTAAATCTGAATTCTCTCAAACATAAATTTCCATGAAAATCTAATAAAAATGAGAGGTAGAATTTATTATCTTAAAAAAAAAAAACTTACCTATTTCCCTTAAATAGATGCTCTACAGAGTTGAACACAATTTTCAATAGTGATATTACTTTCTTGAAGTTACAATTTTTTATACATAATTCCTTCCTCAGGTAAATAAAAATACATACCCCAAAGCAGTAAAAATAAAATAAAGCAAGAGTAACTGAAAAGCCTACCAAGGGTTTTCATTTTGGCAAACATTTATCTTACCATCTAAGCTTCAGACTCTTGAGATGACCCTTGGGATAAAATGACAGACTTAGGTTTGATTCCCGCTGGTATTTCAAACAATACTGCACAACCTGAGGACGATTTTTTGAGGATAAATGACTGGCTAGGAGCACTACAATCCTGAGGCTTTGCCTGGGGCCTATAATCTTACCTAATCATTATTCACAATCCCCCAGAAAAGCCTCCAGCTAAAATTGTGATTGCTATTTAGGACTGAACTTGCAAATTCAATTTTAAAATCCTTTCTTCTTTTATGATTTCATATTTTTGTTTAATTCATGTGCACCTTTAGATATCAACTATAGCAAACATTAAAACCTAGAGAAATAGTCCATCTGTTTTGAATGTTGCTTTCTTTACCAATTTACAAAAAAAAAAGATATTTTAATAGCAAAAATGCCCAAGGACTACATTGCATAATACATGCAACTAAAAATGTAAAGTCCTTACTTAAAGGGGGTATGAAAAGCAGTGGTAATGGAGAAGAGTTCTGTAAATTTAGAATTTTGTGATACAGTTCTCATAAGCCATTTTTTATTTAAAAAAACCAACATAGTTTTTATAAATGCAAAAATGAATTGAGGGTACAACAGTCTCTGAAAATCAGGGAATAAGCTAGAATCAAATCATACCACAAATTTCTTTAGTTAGATCTTTCACTTTTTTTTTGCTTAGGTTGTAAAAAATATTTCTTGCTATCTGTCCTGCCAAAATGTTCCACTCTTGCTTTATTTCTAGAACTGACCATTGCAACCCTCTCTCTGTTCTTCCAGTAATTTTGTCTGCTTTAGTTGATAGCTACGTATAGTTTCTTACTGATTATAACACTTAAGAGTCTCCTCTCTAAAGAACAGCAATTAAGAGTGAGGGCTATCTGTCTCAGACTGCTTGGACTAGAGTTAGATTCCTTATCTTTATAAAGGGGAAATAATTGTTACCTCAAAGTATATTGTGAGGATAAGTGAGACAAATGACTTAGAGTATTTAGTAGATTGTCTGGTATATAGTAAGTACTCAATAAATGTTATTGTTAATAATGAAACTTTTTAGAACCTTTTCTTTACTTCATAGAGGTCTTCTGAGAAAACTAAAAAAAAAAAAATTTGTGTGAGTTTGGACAAAGTTGAGTTAAACTCTCTGCGCTTTTTTTTTCTTATTCATAAAATGAAATAATCCAACAATATTAATCCAAAGGTCTTTCTTAACTATAAAAACTTACACAATTTTACTTAGCTATAGCTAAGGTTCAGACTTATTTTCCTTCTCTGTTTTTAATGTGTATTGACAATTCTGTTTCTTGTTGAGACTAACTTGCTTTTTGTATTCTTCTTTGAATAAGAACCACATGTGATGATATTCTGTGCTCCTACTGGCCTTAGTCGTCATGGGGTAGTTTCCTAATTGCTTATGATGATTACTACATTCATTATCAAACCTCACAGAAGACCCTAAGAAGGTATTGCTTCCTTTTGAACTGATACATTAAAAGTGAATCAGAGATTAATTATATATAATATGTAAAAATTTGTGTTCTATCTAATCCAAGGATTTAAAAAAAACTTGTTATGATTCTGGAGAGGCATAGGTAAAATTTTACTTAAAACTGCTAATCCTATATGGCAAAAATGAAGCACATAAAATAAAAGAAAAACATCATATTAAAACATTAAAAACTGAAAAAATAAGTAAACATAATTGTATCACATGTGATTTGTCGTGTTAATATTCTTAATACGATTCTTGATTCTTATCAATAAAGAAAAAAACATCAAAGACGACCAAGAAAAACTTGGAATGGGGCATAAGTGAGATAGGCATGCAAGAAATATCAAGGACAAATAAAAATATACAAAGATATACGTCTCAATAATCAAATAAATGATAATTAGAATGCCATATATTTTTCTCATTTCAGATTTATTTAACAACAAAGACAGTTAATACCAATGAAAAAACTATAGAGAAAGTGCCACTCTGATACACTGTTGGTGGAAATGCAAATTGGGAGAGCCTTTGCATATATTTCCCCTTTGATCTACCAATTCCATTTTTAAGAATATACCATAAGCTAGCATTGTCCAAAGTGTTCAGTGGGATGTTGACATGTTCTGATGTTATTTTTTGTGTGTGTGTATGTAAAAGCCTAAATTTAATTTTAAATGTAAATGTATACAATGGCATTTAAAAACTTTTCTTTTCCTTTTTTAATAAACTTTATTTTTCAGAGAAGTTTTAGCCTCCCAGCAAAAATGGAGTAGAAAGTGCAGCAATTTCCCATATTGCTTCCTGCTCCTATACGTGTACAACTTCTCCAACTACCAACATCCTGTAGATAGATGCTATTTTAAGAAAGGATTCTATAGTCAAATACATTTGATTACTAAGACCATTGTATATGACTATACATTGGTATTCTCTAAGATGGAGATTAATAGACGTGGTTCTTTATGTTATAGGCCATGGAACCCTTTTATCAGAGAGCATGCTTAGGGACTAAGGCTGTGCAACACTTACTTTTGGAAACTGTCCTAAAAAAATCACTAGGCACAAGTACAAACATGTATATAAGAGAGTGTTCACTGAAATCATGCTTAACACAGGGAAAAAAAAAACTGGAAAGATCCCATATACTAAATAATTGCAAAGTGGTTACATAATTTATGTTATATCCTTAAACTGGAATATTATATAACCATTAATAATGGAAATCCAGATAATATTTACAGACATGAAAAATACTGCAATAAACTGCTAAGTAAAAGAAGCATCCTAGCCAAAGAGCATTTATAATCTATTGTTCCTAATTCTAATCATAATAATTAGATAGATACATATATTATGCATTATACAGAAATATATCAATAAATTCAAAAAGACATACAACAAAATATAAAGAGTAGTTATCACAGGGTGGTAGGATTACTATACTTTTCTGTATTGTCTTATTTTTTTAACGATGAACATCCATTAATTTTATAATAGAAATATTTTTTAAAGGCTATGTGTTTATATGTCTTAACTGTTTGGGGACATCTGGCATTTTATTCTATAGGTTTTAGATGCTTTTCATATTTAATAAAAATTAAGTTCACAGTCAAGAACACTATAATTATATAAAGAATTCATAGAGAGAAAACACAATTCCTACCTTCTGGAGAGAAACTGATAAAAACATAACAAGTGCTGTGAGAGCCAGCAGCGTAATGGAGGCAGTAAATCTCTAGATGCTCTATGCCTTTACGAGTCCCTATAAGGGAGTACCTCTTCTCTCTGTAACAGAAATAACATAAACACACACATTTATTTAAAGGAGCAGCTGAAGGAAAATCATCCTTAAGTATAGCTTGGAGCTACACAGGCTGCCTGTTTTCAAGGGGGATCTCACAGGTAAACAGTTGCAAATATTACCACCTACTTCTGTATGACCTTGGAAAAGTTACTTATTTGCTCCATGCCTCAGTTTCCTCCTCTGTAAATGGGGATAATGATATTACCAACTATAAAGACTAATATTCACAAAGTGCTCAAGACAGTGCCAGATACAGTTGCTATATATGTGGTTTTTAAAAATAAAAAGTGGGATTGATTATATTAATAGAGATCCTTCACAGAGCACCTTACTATCAGTGATATTTTACTTCTGTTACCATCTCAAGGAATTCTCACCTTGATCCTGTGAGGTATTATTATTATTACTACTTGGCCCTCAGCTGTGCATACCAGAAAAAATTTTATTAGCTCCCTAAACTGATACAAACTCACAAAAAACTGATGAATTTAAAAGGGAATATATTTTTTGTGTTTCCAAAATGATATCCATTGGATAAAAAATACTATGTACTAATATCTGGTCTATTTAAGTACTGAACCACTTAGACATTACCTGAATAGTATAAAATTAAAGCAAGGAGAATTGAAAACTTGTATCAGACCTTAAGCCATAGTAGTATGATATGTTTTTCTACCGTGTTACAAATTTCCTCTTACTCTTGATATGATACCTTGAGAAGGCACAGCATCACCAATGAAGTATTCTTGCCAAGAATATTTAATCTGAATCTAATAAAAAAAAAATTCAGGAAAATCTAAAGTAAGGGCCATCTTGCAAACATGGGCTCAGACTTAAAAAATATCAATGACATGACACAAAGAGGCTGGTAATTTTTTCTAGATTAAAGGATATTAAATGGATATGATAATGAATACAACGAATAATGCTTAATTCGATCTTGGCTTAGAGAAAAAAAGACAGCTATAGTTACTGGACAATTGGGAAATCTAACATGCAGACTCCAGAAATCTCTATCAGTGAATAAATTTAAAATTAACTTAAGTGGTTTGTACCTACAGATAAAATTATTCATTCATGCATTTATATTTATCACAATTTATTAAATACCTATTCATTGTGATAGGCCTGAAGATAACAAAATTTCCTGGGAGTAATAAACCCTAAAATATAGACATGGCTTAGCCAAAGATGTCAGGTGAAGGGTACTGAGGACCTTTTTATCTAAGTCTGGCAAGTTAGTGAAATAGCCAAACTGTATTTGTTATATTTGAGACTCAGGCGCTCTTCCTACTGAAGTATTTTCCCTTCTAAAGGAAGGGAAAAATTAAGAATGTTGGAGCAGGTTGCTAGGGCTTCATGCAGCCTACAGTAAAGTCCTACAAGAAAGGGCGGCACATCTGGAAGCAGAGAAGGGGAAAAAAAGACAGCTTTGCCAAAAGAGCTACTTCCTGTCTGTGGCTGAGAATCAGATAATCTGAAGCCTGGCAGGTTGATAAAGCCAAATTATAGCTGTTTTATAATTATCTTTTATTTATTTTTTAATAGGCTATTTTCATGATGCAGAATTTGAAAGATACAAAGGGGCAGTGAAAATTTCTCTTCCAGTCTTGTCCCCCAGACAAGACTGTTTTCCCTCCTCAGAGGTAACCTCTGCTAACAGATTTCATGTATTCTTCCAGAAATGTTAATGCATTGCCCTATCTACACTTGTGTTTACAGAAATGGAGCAGGTTATACACACTGTTCTACACCTTGCTTTCTTCACAGTATGTTTCATCAATGGGTCATTCCAGCCTTATTTTATATTATTATTATAAAGCTATATCATAAAAACTATAGACAGGAATACAGGAGGACATACAGATGTTTCCTCAATGCAAAGGAAATAAGATAATGGCCACCTGGAAGAAAAGAACACTGAGGTGTCTGAGTGTATAGTACTGAAGACAATAACTAAGGAGGATTTGTCTGAAGACATCTTTGGATTCTAAGCATGCTAGTGTATTGTGACAGAGCATCTCAAAAGCTGCTGAAGCCTCTCCCATGAGAGGGGTGCAAAAGTGGCTAAGACTGAGCTGGCAGACGTAAAGGAGACTGGGGTTTGAAGAAACAGGGAGAAGAGGGCATGGTCCTTACAACTGAAGACCATGGCAAGAATCATGGCAGTAGATCCAGTATATGAAGTCCAGAGGCCAAGCAAGAGGAATTACGTCTTTGTGGATGCTGGCTCATGGGCCAAAATGTCAAGGGTCAAGCAATAACTCAGTGGAGACAAGCAAGCAGAGAGAAGAGTATAGAAACCCACACTCATCCATTGATGCCAGGTATATAAGTCTCCCAGGAACTTGGAGAAGAGTACAAGGGATGGAGAGAATCCTTCTAAGCTGAGGGGAAGAATCTTGGTTTAAAGCCTAAACTGACTCAATTTTACTTAAGAAGTAACCAAGCAACTACCTGTTGGTAAGATTAATTTTTCCTTTATCTGTGGAAATGGCGGTGGTGGGCGGTGCCAAGAAAAGGGGTTTGTGAGACAAGTCAATGTTTAGATATAGGCAAACTATATTTTACACACTTGAGATAAGGAACTATAACATTTAAATCTACATAGCCAGCTTATGTGGCTGTTACAAAAATTTAATGAAATGGTTGTGTAAAAATGTACAAATAATAAAGGGGGTGATTTTCTGGTTATGATTTCTGATAGTAACTTTCCTATAACTTCTTCCCAAGTTCTGGGGACCTTTAATGCAATCCTTATAATGCCAGATTTTGTATACACATTCACTTCCAAAGAGTATTAGCTTTGAAGTAAATGAATCCTGGTTTCAAATTCTACCTTTGTGGCTCACTAGCTGTATAAATTTGAAGAAATATCTTAACTTCTTTGAGTCTTGGATCTTTAGTTATAAAACAGTACGAAAGCATAGAAGATATAGTCAATAATATTGTAATAACATTGTATGAGTGCCCAGTAATGTATAGAATGGCCGAATCAATACATTATACACCCGAAACTAATATAACATTGTATGTTAATTATACATCAATAAAAAATATATCTCTTCTCAATACAAACCCATCCAATAAATATGTATTTTCAAAAAAATGTGTGACAATCAAAAATTATTTCATACAGGTATGTGTTAAGTATAACATATTGTTTGGCCCATGGTTGGTGGACCTACTATTTTCTCTAAAGTTTAAACTGTGTTGCCCAGTTTTTGATTTGGAAAGTTTGATCATGTCATACGTCTTTACTATACAAGATTGAGCTCTGTAAAATAAGGCTCCTCGTTATTGTTTTCAGGCTGATGGAATAATAAACATTCCCACTACCATGAAGGAAGCAGGTCTCTGTCATAATAAAAGCATTTAAATATAAAATATAAACACAAACAGCAATCTTCTTAAATCTTACCAAGACTCAATATAGGGATTAGCTATAATTATTTCCCATTTCCTCTAAAGAGAAATTGTCTTTTTAAAAAAAGGTATTTATTTCTAATCTAACAGATGTTAAAAAGATGATTATTCACCACGACCAAGTAGGATTTATCCCTGGGCTTCAAGGTTGGTTCAACAGCCGCAAATCAATCAACGTGATACAATACATTAACAAAAGAAAGAACAAGAATCATAGGATCCTCTCAATAGATGCAGAAAAAGCATTTGACAAAGTACAGCATCCTTTCTTGATCAAAACTCTTCAGAGTATAGGGATAGAGGGTACATACCTCAATATCATAAAAGCCATCTATGAAAAACCTACAGCAAATATCATTCTCAATTGGGAAAAACTGAGAGCTTTCCCTCTAATGTCAGGAACGCGGCAGGGATGTCCACTATCACCACTGCTATTCAACATAGTATTAGAAGTCCTAGCCACAGCAATCAGACAACAAAAAGAAATCAAAGGCATCCAAATCAGCAAAGAAGAAGTCAAACTCTCACTGTTTGCAGATGATATGATACTTTATGTGGAAAACCCAAAAGACTCCACCCCAAAACTGCTAGAACTCATATAGGAATTCAGTCAAGTGGCAGGATATAAAATCAATGCACAGAAATCAGTGGCATTCCTATACACCAACAAGACAGAAGAGAGAGAAATTAAGGAGCCAATCCCATTTACAATTGCACCCAAAATCATAAGATACCTAGGAATAAATTTAACCAAAGAGGCAAAGGATCTGTACTCAGAAAACTATAAAATATTTATGAAAGAAATTGAGGAAGACACAAAGAAATGGAAAAACGTTCCATGCTCATGGATTGGAAGAACAAATATTGTGAAGACGTCAATGCTACCTAGAGCAATCTACACATTCAATGCAATCCCCATCAAAATACCATCCACTTTTTTCAAGGAAATGGAACAAATTATCCTAAAATTTGTATGGAACCAGAAAAGACGCCGAATAGCCAGAGGAATGTTGAAAAAGAAAAGCAAAGCTGGCGGCATCACAATTCCGGACTTCCAGCTCTATTACAAAGCTGTCATCATCAAGACAGTATGGTACTGGCACAAAAACAGACACATAGATCAGTGGAACAGAATAGAGAACCCAGAAATGGACCCTCAACTCTATGGTCAACTAATCTTTGACAAAGCAGGAAAGAATGTCCAATGGAAAAAAGACAGTCTCTTCAACAAATGGTGTTGGGAAAATTGGACAGCCACATGCAGAAGAATGAAACTGGACCATTTCCTTACACCACACACAAAAATAGACTCCAAATGGTTGAAAGACTTAAATGTGAGACAGGAGTCCATCAAAATCCTAAAGGAGAACACAGGCAGTAACCTCTTCGACCTCAGCCACAGCAACTTCTTCCTAGAAACATCGCCAAAGGCAAGGGAAGCAAGGGCAAAAATGAACTACTGGGATTTCATCAAGATAAAAAGCTTTTGCACAGTAAAAGAAACACAACAAAACCAAAAGATAACTGACAGAATGGGAGAGGATATTTGCAAATG